TGACAGACTGATGAAATTTATTCTACAAAACTACAGGTAGTTGGGTTGGGACTCTTTTAACTCTTATGGTAGGTGTTATTTTTAATATTCATCACCCTTCACTGTCAAAGCATTTTCTTTCCAAGAAACTTCATGGATACAGACAACGATAATCAGGAAAGTAAACATTGCAAGAGCTAAGTATATTCAGCCAAAGAAATCCGTCCGAGATGTGTCCTTCACAACCCTATCAATCAAATCTTGCACATCAAGACAATAGACCCAAAATCAATCTCGATCAGATGGACGGACGAACCCGGAAAATCATATCAAGTACTAGGCCCCACATTCAAAATCCACACGAAAGAGGGTTCAGGTCAGAAATGCATGGTTACCTCCTTCACTGTCTTGGTATTATTAATCAATTAGAAACAGAGACTAAAATAATGTAAGTTTTAAAAACTTGTTTTTTTTCGGAAAAGTATGAACAGGCCCAATACAGATTTCTGAATTTTACTATAGATCTATAAACATTTAAATGTCAAATATCTATACTCTATGTATTAACGCTTTTGTTCGTGAATTGACATCAATACGGAACTGGCACCTGCTCGAACAGTATTTTAAACCTGTAATTCTGACCCTGAACTGAACCGTCATTCTCCCTTTTTTTTCCTCTTTATTTTTCAAGAGATTTGAAATCGTTTAATATGTGTTTGGTAATATTTACTCTTTTTACCTGAAACAATTTGGGTTGATCAATATAATTGACATACAATTGTTACTGGAGGTTAATTATTATGGTTAAAATAATTGTAACTATTTTTAGAAATATCAAATTGTTGTTTCGAAATAATAATGATAATAAACACAACCTCAGTTCTTCACTTGAAAAATATAATTGAGATCTTTTAATGACATATCAAAAATTTAACTTACCAACCAGTGGTGGTTCAGTTATTAAGTTCTTTTTGGCTGGTTGTAGGGAAGATTAAATCTCAACGATTGGGAGGTTAATAATGGGTATGAAGATGGCCTTATCTATTCCTGTAGCCCTTTTTCTTCTTAATAAATCTAAAGAATTGCAATAAATCCGAGGCAACGACTGCATCTGACACAAAATAGGAATGCCCATTCTCACTTGGGCCTCTTCTTATGTGATCGTCAATGGAAGGAATCCGTAGTTTCTCAGACTGAAAATGGCACAAACGAGGAAATACGAGAGAGAGAGAAACATATAGAAGAAACATTTGGAAATATATATAATTCGATGCCCTTACTCTCATTAGCTACTATATTTATTGGGGTTCCAAGTAGGGCCGGGTTGAAGTCAATTTTAATCCTAATCTAACTTCAATCCTAATTAAATTCCTTCAACCTTAACTTAATCCAACTTAACCCAAACTCATCTTCGGATTGGCTTGGGTTCGGGTTGGGCTCAACCCAACCTTCTTTCCATCCCTTAAAATCTTGTAGAACTTATTAATCTTAGATCTTCACTCAATTTTTATTACATATATTAATCTTATGTTTTATTAGTATTTGTTTATTGATGTTTATATTGGTTCTTGGAGTGCAAAATTCAGAAAAAAAAAATTGTTTGAAATGACTATTTTATTATGATGGCTTATAATAGATCTTTTATGGGCAACAAGCTATGGTGACAAATAATAGAGAGGAGATAAATAATAAAATATTCAAAAAACACAAAATATGTTATCAAGGTTTTAGCATTTCCAATTAGGATTAAGTGAAGTGATTATCTTAAATGAAATAAATGATAGTATGTGGTAGTGGCTATATAACTATCATGCATCTAAACAAATATGTGTGTGTATTATAGAGTCGAATTCAAATTGGGTCAGGTTGCCCAAGGGGTCAATCCTAACTCAACCCGAAATAAAGCCGGGTTCATAAATTTCAACCCTAATTCTAACCCAAGCATCAACCAAATTCAACCCAACCTAACTTTTTCAAATTGGGTTAAGGTTAGGTTCGAACTAACCCGACCGAAGTTGCAGCCTTCATATATTAATTAGGCAGAATATTCCTAACAGACACTGTTGGCCATAACAAACTCACACGTTAAGCTGGACCCATCATTAAGGCCTTCCGAGATCATGCCACATGTCCTTCAGCAGATTCCAATTGTAACAAAAATAAACCACTGCATTCCACCTTGCACTCTACTCTAAATTCTTTGTTTCAATTGTATTCCCATGCATTTGTAGGAAAGAATTTTCTTTTTTCCTTATTGCCCAATTAACCTAAACTAGTAGGGGTGAATTGAGTTTGGAGGATTTGTTCCCAATTAAAACTTTCTAAAATTATAAAACTATGAAAGCAAAGTAAACAAACAATTGAAGTAAGCAATTACAATAAAGTATATATTAACTTTATAGAGATTCGGCCAAACTTAGGCTTATATTTTCTCTTGAGGCAACCTTTTGATAATTTTTATTAATTAATTAGACTTCTGAGTGCCAGGAAAACCTTATAATGATTGGACTTTCAGGTGTCAATAAGACCTAAATAATTAAATTACCAGCCTTGCCTTTTAGGTGCCAATCAAACCTAAACAATTAGATTTGTGGGTGTTAAATAGACCTTTGATTGTATTCAAAATTGAGCACAAATAAAAATAAAAGATTTAATTTAAAAAATTTCAATGAAAAACAAATAAGTTCAAAGGCTATACAAATTTCTTAAACTACCTTTCCCTAAATCCAATAAATAGTCTCTACTTAAAAACCACCGACAACAATAGCAGTAACTTTCACATGGCGATCAGCTATTTGGAGACGGAACGATGGAAGCGTGCTACCTTTGCCTAAATCCAATAGATAATCTCTATTTACTTAGAGATCGCCAGCATCAACATTAATAGCAACAACTTCGATAACATCAACTATCCCATCCATTGCTGCAACTCCGTTAATCAACTACCCCATTAGTCACGATCTCTTACTATAACTCCACAATGAAAAAAAAAAAAAAAAAAATTCGGATATCTCAATTCCTTCTCTCTTGATCTCTTTCTACTAGAGTTTTTAGTGAAAAAAAAATTAAAAAATATAAAATCGAAGTTGGTGGACAGTGGAGTTGCAGAACCCTTTTACGTAAGCACTTCACAATTGTTGCTGGTTCCCACCGGTTGTTTTTGATTTTTTAGAGATCTCCCTCTCCCTCGAGGCGGTCAAAACCCTCTATTCTCACCACCGGCTTGTTCCCAAATGTTGCCCGAACATATCCTCCTTTACTGGTGGAAGAGGATGGGGTCGATGAAAGAATTTGTATCAGTTCTTTCGGCTTAACCACAGTGACAGATGGGGAGTGGTTTGCTATAGCTGTCATCGGGGAGAGGGATAGGGAAGAAGATGGTGAAGAAAGGAGAGGGAGAGGAACGGAGGGTAATATTGAGTTTTAAAAAGAATTTATACATCATGCGATGTTATGTATATACGGAATTTGACAGAATACTAAGGGATGTTAACGGCACGGGTAGAGCTAGTTAATTGTCAGAAATAGTATGGGTGGTGCAAAACAATAATTAAATAGTAAGGGTATAGTTAGTCAATTAGCTAAACAATAGGGGTAGTTTAAGAATTTTGTCCGTTTCATAATTCAAACTCTTGAGATTATCAATCCAAAATCATTGATTTGTAGAGTTTGGGAGAATATGATCATTATAGATCCATTGGAAATGTTTATAGCAAATTTCTGACAAAATTGAAAGTACCTAAAGTCATTATATCTTCAAACGGTCAAATTTTTCACCAAATAGTCAACTATCATGAGCTAGTAGTCAATTACTATACATAAAAAGAATCTCTTTTCTTTAACAGTTGATTACTTCCTCCTAATAATCAACTACTTGCCAATACCCAGTCTTAAGTGTGAGACAGTCAACTATTGCTAACCAATAGCCAACTGTACACTACTGCTTTAAGGACAATCAACCATTTTAGCCTTAAAAGCTCTGATATTCAAATTCTAGAGGGTTGGAAATAACTTTCTTAGGCTTTCAAACTTAGATTTTTCATTTTTAAGCTCATGTGTAAGTCTGAGATCACCTAAGAACCAAACCTAATACTAGCCACTAATATGAATTCTTTGCAAGTGATTACATTAAGTCTTATGAAATAAAGCATAATAAAACAGTAGAACTCGATGCTTCTTCCTTCTAGCTCTTGGTAGCATTCATCTCATCTTCTTTGGAGATTGATTGGTTAGTAATAAACAACTACTCAAATGTGTCCTATTATAAGTTGATTCTTGATAGAGTATTTGTCAAACAATTTAGATCAATAGAATTTAATTGGTATAAGTATAACTACACACTTAACATCATTTAATTAATACTCTTAATTAGTTTCTAATTAGGGATTAGCGCCTTGGTCTGTTGATGCACTAGATGGTTTGTTGGCATAGGTAGGACTCCTATTAAATGATACAGATGGTTGGTATTGTTTTATTGGGTTAGTACTTAGTAAAGAGGGCAAGGAGTGAAGTGAGTAGTATTTTCCTCTGTAGCTCTTAGCTAGGAGAATATTGGGTAATGGGCTGTTTATATTTTCCTCTCTCCCATCCCTATTCATGTAGGGCTGTTAATGGGCCAGGTTTGGTTCAGGGATGGGGTCAGTCCCAAAACAATTATTAATCAGGACACTATCATGCATCTATATCTATCTATCTTAATAACAATTTAAAACTTCATTTTCTATAATATAATTTAATAAAAATGACAATAAATTAATAAGTTGTTTATATGTTTTTAATCAAAATTATCTTATATATTATATATTATCTATTAAATTTTATTCTTTTAGACAAAATATAATAAAAATTACAAAAAACAAACCTTTTATATTATTAATACAATAATCGGTTCGGATCTTAATCGGTTTATCACAGACGACAGAACCGGTCCCAACCCAATACTAATACCAAGACAAAATCAGCACGAGCTACTCAATTAGTATTTAGTAGGAAGAAAAGCAAATAACACAGAAGACCACGCGATGGTTTCCTTGGGAATGGGAACAGAAAGCAAGGCAAGAAGATCAGGTCCTACTAAAAATGCTAGGGCATTGTTGAAAGAGATCAGATCAATGAAACTTTCCGATCATTTGGGTGTGATGGGAATTCTGAGAGAATCTTTCGCCATCCTTAAGAAAAATGGGATGCTCACAGCTTCCATCACTTTTCTCACCATCCTTCCTAACACTCTTCTCTTCCTGCTCCACCATTTCTCTGTCAAACAACTGGTCGTTGATTTGGTTCTAAAAATCATGGACGTATACCAAGAAGCACCAGGAAGCCCAGAATATATGGAGCTAGTCGAGCAAATCAGAAGGGATATCGGAATTCTTATGCTCAAAGAAGCTATCTTCAAGACTGCAATGTGGCTGGTCTTTCTTTTCTCTGTGACTGGAACCGTTTATGCCTCAGCCATGACCTACACCGGCATGAGCTTGACTCTCAAGGAGTTGATTTTGAGGATCAGAGCAACATGGACAGGTCCGGCCATCACTTGGTTCTACGTTTCCCTCTTAATTCTGGGTTGCTCTCTTCTTGCCTTGGCTCCTGTGGGTCTGTTCACAATGGTTTCTACTGGTTCCAGTGGCTCCATTGCATTGAGTGCCTTTTCTCTCCTGCTTGTTCTTCTGCTGCTTCTTGTTTCCCTCTACCTATCTTCGGTTTGGATTGTGGGTCTTGTGGTCTCTATCATAGAAGATGGTTGTTATGGGTTGGAGGCAATTGGGAAAGCTGAAGAGCTTATGAAGGGTAGCCGGCTTCAAGGCTGTGTTCTCACCCTTCTTTGTGTTACAGTTCTCATTCCCATCTCTGGAATTCTTGGTTCCATAATAGGAAACACTGCTTTTACAGAAGCCACTCAGCTGGGCATTGCAAGCTTGTTGATGAGTATAGCTTGTTTGCTGAAAATCTTTGGGTCAACTGTGTTTACTTTGTTTTATTACCAATGTAACATAATCCCAGGTGAAAAGGTGGAAATGAAGCAAGGAACAGGTTACATTATGATTCCTAGTGTTCCATATGTTGCTGAAGCTCTTCCTTGCTGAAGGATCGATTAAGCCCTTATCATAGTCCAGTTATCATCTTGTATCTAACTATCTATGTAACCACTTAGGCATTCTGTATAAATTTCTTATTGCCTGGAGCTTGTTTTCCTTATGTAATCCAAATAAAAAGATTTTCTTACTAAATCCATATTACTGCACATAGAATTTCTTGTTAGTTTATAGTGCTTGTACAGTTGGAATCTAACGCCAAAGAGCTAACCTGAACCAAAGCTTTGCAGAGCTTTCTTTACATTGGCAGTTTATAGCATAGCTAGGCTTAATTTCAGCTCCTTTAGGTTCAGTTTAATTTGTCTATGCATGGGAGTGCAAATAGGCTGTGTAATTTCTGGTTTAGATCTGACTTTGTATTATTTGTTAATGGAAAGTAAAATCATGCGTGTCCCCAGCAGTCTTTATAAGAAGAAGGTTATTTGTTATTTGTTTGGGAGTTAGGTAAGTAAGAAGCAAGATGATGTGGTTTCGACTGTATCAGAGAGAGAATTGATGTGGAGGGAGGTGTTCCAAAATTTGCATTGACAGTGAGTGCAAAACTGCAAATGAGATAAAAGATGAAATTTTGTATCTTGAAGGATGCAAATCATAGTTACAAAACAAACTGATGCAAAACTGAACTGGGTGTAAAATTTTTTTTCGGGTTCAGATTTATACTACAATCAAACACAGCTTAGGATTGAGTTATGATGGAGTGCTCAGCCTGGTTGAACTTGCTAATAAAATCTTTTGGGTAAATTGCTGAAACCTCTCCTGTGCTTTTCCTGATAATTGCGGTTCAGTACCCTAATTTATGCCAATAGCAATTTTCTTCCTTGAACTTTCAACCAAAGTTGCTGATGTGATCATGTTTAAATGTCAAGATATTGCCCTTAGATAAAAACATGTGGTTTTACGCCCACCAAAATAGTCATCCATACCTTGCTTGAATAGTGAATTACGTTAGAACCCACCCTGACCCTCACCCACGTCAATCCACTCACTTTGATCGTATATCCACCACACTAGTATTTTTTTCAAAATACATACGAAAAAAAAAATAGGAGATACAAAAATTGATAAAAAAAATTAAAATTATATACCAACAAAAAATCTGTAATTTAAAAGAGAAATATAAAAAAATGATATGTTTTTCTCAAAAATATATTTCAATCAAAAAATCAGAGTTGCAGAAAAAATACATAAAATGATAAAATTTTATGTGTGTGTGTCAAGTATAAAAAGGAAAAATTCCAAGAAAACAATAAAAATTCAAAAATATATATTTTAATGAAAAACAGAAAATGTAGAAAATACATAAAAGTCATAAAATGTCAAAAAATATATATAATTCAACAAACTATACAACAATTATTGAAAAAAAGCATAAATTTTATGAATTTTATTATCAGTGTAATAGGGAAGGGCAAATTTAGAATCCAATTGACCATTCAAACGGTAAAAACTGGGTATTTTGGTAATTTTGTTCACTTCCATTAAAACAAGATAATGGAGGAGGTGTAGATGCAACAATATCAAAAAGTTCAGGGGTAGACAATGTTATTAGTATAAAGCAAGGTATTGAACCACAACGGTCAAAAAAAAAGTACAGGGGAGGTTTGAACAATTTACCCAAATCTTTTTTATAAATTGATCTATGTAACCACTAGCACATAAGAGAAGATAGTAGACTAATTGGGTCAGTCAGACTTGTTGTCTAGATGATGTTTTTTTTTTTTTTAAATCAGTGTTTTTAAAAAAAAAAATCGGTAAATTTTGTTATTTGGTATCATTTTTGTCATATAAGCCAATTTTTGAGAAATCAGTGTTGAGTCTGTTTGGTATGATTTTCAAGGGGCAACTATTTTTGTAGCAAAATTATTATTCAATGTCATGTTGGATGCCATGTCATCTTCAAAAAATTGGAATCAATTAGAAATTAGAAAATCACCAAAAAAAGTGATACCTGAAAAGGGCATATTTCAAGAATTGATTTTTGGCTGATTTCCTGAAAATCACCAAAATCAGCCAACCAAACAGAAATTTCAACGCTGATTCTTCAAATGCTGATGTGGCTCTGACATGGCAGTGATTTTCAAGAAATTATGATTGATGCCAAATATCACCTTAGGTGCTACTGTGCCGCTAAAAGAAGCAATTGGTATGGAGATTATTTGGCCAACAAAGGCATAGATGATGGTAATTACTGCCTATTCACTTCTTGACTAAGTGTTCCGAATGTTCTTAGAATGGGCTAATGATATTTTATTTTTTTTCTCTCCTTGTTTCTTTGTAAGCCCTAGTTTTAGGTGTGGGTGAGTGGGAACTGGGTGGGAAAGGATGTGTGTTTTTTTGTTGAGTTTGGGGCAAGGAGCGCGGGTTATGTTTCTTCCATTCCATAATGGTTAATAAAATTTTAAAGAGGCCGCCCTTCCACCTAGAGTAAACTTATTAGGGGTCCAAGGAAACATAAAAGTAATACTGCATCGAATTGGATTGAAATTCAGATCATAGTAAGTTTGGTGGAATAGAATCTCCCTACCTTTAATTCTGTTGACATGAAACTCCAAATGGGTCGCATTAGTTGTCACTCTCCGTTTTCTTACCATGTCGTCTTTCATTAGCAAATTTCTTCCTAGAAATTTCCTGGAGATAACGTTGATGAAAAACTGCATCCTTTGTCTTTTTCTCCTTGCAGTAATCAGTCCATGCAAGAGGACTGTCGAAGCTTCTTCAAATCTAACTGTATATGCCATAGACATCTAGAAACTATAAGCCGGGTCTCTCTCTCTCTCTCACGATGTCCCATCTGATGCTAATCCACTGTTGAAAGGTTCTCATAATCTCATATCCTTTCTTGTGAGCTCCTGTTGATTCATGAATGATTAGGTTCTAGGAAAGAAATGAAGTCAAATGACTTATTCGGACTACAAGTTGTTAAGTAAGAAAGTTCAAAGAAAAACCATATATTGCAAATTTAATTGTTGCATAAAAAGCATTTTAAGAAGAGCCCCATCAAAATTCAAAACCTTTGGTGATAATTGTTGGATTTTAATCTCATAAGAGATTAAATTCAATGGGTTTGATTGATCAATTACATAAGAAATTGCATTTGCACACTTGATTGGAAAATTATCTTTTCTCTTACAAAACCCAATTTTGAACTTGTCCCACATTGGAAAATTATTAGCTTTGTTTTCAGTATTTTAATAGGAGCTTATTTATACTCTTTAGAAATAGTAGATGAGAGTATGGAGGTTTGATACCGTGCAACATGTGCACGCACGCGTGTACGAYGCAATAAGGCGCTTTAAAGGCGCACTTCGCTCGCACCCGCACGTGGCTTGCAAAGGGTGGCTTTAGTTTTGGTGCGGTGCTAACCGTTGATGAGATCAATGGTCCCGATTCGATCGGGTGTAATCAAGAGGCACAATTCAAAGTTTGACTGTTCAAGGTGCCTTCTTTGAACCAACACCTACCTTTTCTTCATACCTCTTCATAAACTATTTAAGTAGCAAGAATCAAACTTCAAGAACACACATTTTCGAAATCCACTTTTTCTCTCTCTCTCTCAGTCCGGTCTGCTACAGTCTCATAGAAGGTTTCTTCGGAGATTCTTCAACTTTGCTGATTGCAGATTCTCGCCCAAGGCTCCATTGTATCCTGAGAACGGATTTGCATGTAACCCAACAGCAAACTCAGTGAAACTGAGTGGAGGCAAATAATGTTCTAAGGACARTATCTTCAGACGCACCTCAAAACTTCTCCAAAGTTACAGTGACCCTATTTCCCAACAATAATAATGTCTGAAACAATTATGATCTCTCCGGATTAGTGTTATAGCATGGTTTGTTTGTTATGCAATTTCATCTGCAATGCAAATAAACAAAATAAAGCAAGAGCTGAAACAAAAATGCATACATTTGGACCAGTGCAAATGAAATTGCATTGCAAATAAACAAGGTCTTTGGGAATTTCAGGGTAAGCTCTCAAGTCCTAAGTGAAGTGTACTTCATATTCCAATTTAAAAATAATATAAAAATACATGCAAGTATGATTAGAGACAATGCATACACATGTATAATGTATGTCCACATGAGTGTGGGACTGTGGGCAAATTTGTCTTATAGTGTAAACTGGATCAAAATTTTGTCACGTACTAGAGCCTTCCCGATATGACCCTATAGGGGGTGTTTTAGGTTGGCAAGTGGTTCAAGGAATAGAGCGTCCTTATGGCCCCTTTGAATCAGTTTTGAAAAAAAAAAAAGTACCACCGATACAGGCCAAAACGCCCTACCGGCGTATCACCCTGTATCGGTATTTTGAACCTTGGTCGAACCCATGTTTCCAAACCCAGGCCCATCCCAAAGGCCAACAGTTGAAGCCCATCCATGAAAAAGCTTGGGTTGGGTCTATTAAGGTTCAAGTTGGACCAGTCCATGTTGAAGCCCTAGCCCATGATGCACCTACCTGGAGACCTGCGAACAAGTGAATTTATAACTCCATGAGTCGGTGCCATATGGTTTTTATAATGGGCATGGAAATTTTTCCTTTGAAAATCTAAAACTTTATTTGGAGATGCCTTCCGAGGCATTGGTTGTGAAACATGGACTCTGGAGGTGAGGGATGATATCAAATACTGAATGTCCTCGTTGTAGAGCTGAATTGAAGGTATCATGCATCTTCTTCTTAGATGTCCATATGCATCTCCTTCTTAAGCTCATTGTCATGTAATCTCAGTTTAAGTAGTAATGCTGATACAAGAAAAGAATTTGCAGACTTGGGCAAGGCAGCAAGAGAATCCCCAGCCAAAGGGAAGATCCACATGCATGGTTACATTAACCCTTTGAACAGAGAATAGTCCTGTCGCATTCAGATCTTTTTCTTATGGTAACAGGGCCTGATCTCAATGGGGGACAAAAAATATTATCACTTTTTTCCTTGTTTTCCGTGCATTGAATCATCCAATCTCAGCAAAACTATAACTAAATTAATCACAGAATGTCAATCCAATCCCTCACTGCTCAGTTGAATCTATTACAAAACTCGCATATGGAATAATGAGAACCACAACTGCTCTAGTATCACCAAATTAGATAATTATTTGTTACTCTTTTGCTTTGCAGAAGAGTCTGTGAATCAACATAAGACATAAAATGACTCTACATATATTAGATGGTACATTGCCGCCAAGAAAACTTCTTATGCCATCTTAGAACCACTGTAACTGATATGCTTCAACTGCTTCACCTTCTCAAAGGTAGGAGCACTGTAATTTTTCTCTACTTCCCAAGCAAATTGGGACATGCAATTGAACGACGATTTTGCCCCCTTCTCATCCGTCACTTCTCTAGGGAATGGGATACGGACCTCATAAGTCTCTCCCTCAGCAGAGCTCAAATGCACATCAAAACCTAATCTGTCAACCCATATCATATTTGCTTCTTTCACCTGTTACCATAGACAACAAATAAGAACTGCAAGGAACATAGTTCAAAGGACAAAAATTATATATCCCGTGTTCATTCAGAGTAGTCATTTCTATCCTTTCTAATAAAACAACAAAAAACTAAATAAGTTTCCTTGTATTAACTTGTATAATAAACTTGACCAATAAAAATAATCTTTGTTTTCTCACAATGGATCAGATCCAAAAGACTATAGTGCTGTGAATGGATCAGACCATGATCCAGATCTAACCCAATTACAGTAAATACAGAATTGGATGGTAGGTGTGAAAGACTGTAGATTAAACTTTCATCAAGACCTCTCATTTGATTTTATCAAGAACAGGAAGTATTTTGATCCCATCCATATTACACTGGACAGAATAAACTGGATGAAATCTTGATATGATATATATACACACAATCAGATTTTTGGACTGGCTTGAAAGTAATCCATTATAGAGCCTAATTACCATGGTACACAACTCCAAAGCACTGAAGACAAATAGTGTGAACTAAGGCCCTGTTTGGCGGTACTTTTGAAAGCCTAATTACCATGGTCTCCAATCCCAAGTGTTGTAGCACATATTTCCTACTTCTAGAAAATGTAATTTCCCACTCTATATTGTGGTAATGAAACAATTGGACAAGGTGTCAAACACATTTCCAATACAAGATGGAAATAGATTATATACTATTTGATTCATGATTTTTTACTACACAAATTGATAGTTTACAATGGATGAGTGCATGTTAGAAAGAAAGAAAAACTCTAATCAGGACAATGAACTGGAAAGAAAAGGGATTACCAGAAATTTAATGATAGAATAGAGAAGTAAACAAAATTCCCTGGAAAAATAGAGATGTCTCACTTTGTAATAGTAAGTCATCTTAATAACATTTAAATGGTAAGAAAAAGAAAACCTTGAGTTGTTCATTTGCTGCAATGACCAGAAATAATAACTAAGATTCCAAGAAAAAAGAAACACACACTTCAACAACCTTTTCTTTAAGAAAGCAAGTGAATACTCCAAAAAAAGTGCAACTTTCAGCACCATTTGCATCTAGTTTCCTAATTTAACCAGTAAAACAAATTTGCAGGACTTGTTATGTTCCTTAAAAACTTTATTTAGAAGGATTTTAAGAGAACAAGCATCAGCATCAGCTTAATCATACCAAGTTTCTCCAATATCTTTTAGAGTGCATTCGCTGGGTTAGATAAAAAATGAAAGAATGAATGAATCATTGAGAAGACCATGCTAATATGAATGTGGTCCCTGGTACAGTACAAATTGCTTTCTTTTCCATCAAGTCTAACCAACCTCCAGCCAACATCAAATCCAACTTTTTGTATTTTCTTTCTTCCTTGATTAACAAGTCCAGATTTTCCAAGAAACTTCTGTCTACCCCATAATAGATGAAAAATAACCACATTCTATATCACAGATAGGTCTCATTAATGTTAAAAGAAAAAATAATTATCCAGAAATGCTTGCTTTTGGTTCTTCTGTTTGAGGTTTCTTCTGTGGTGGAACACTACTAAATTTGTTGGGGCTAATGGGCAACATTTTTCTAGCCTTTACAGCTATATACATAGCTTCACTGTGCCTTGCTGCTCTCGGGGTTTCAATTAAATTGTTTTTGTATATTGTCATCAGTTCCTTTGGTCTTAGCATGTCAGGTTACTATTTGCTAGGTCCTGTTCCATTCACCAAGTAGCATATCACTAAGAAGTGATTGGGTGAAACTGAAGGGTAAATAGAACATGGATTGAGGTGATGAATAGTATATCAGGTTATTATTTGCTAAGTGTTGTTCCATTGTACTTTGTACACCAAGTAACATACCAATAGAAGTGACTGGGTGCAAACTGAAGGGTAAAGATCTAAGGATAGGACAAAAAGAACATAGGTTGACTGGTTGAGGTAATGGATTTAAAGAATTAGGGATTGAGGTAATGATTTGATGGCTTGCAACAGAATCATGGACATGGCCCCAAATAGAGTGGAATGATGAAGCAAGATTCGTTATCCAATCCCATTTACTTAGAATAAGGCATTGTTGAGTTGTATTCAAAGGGTTTTGTTTGGTAGCCTCTATTGAAGAAGTCTTTTGATGCTTCAGTTTGTATTTTAGTGGTTTTATGGTTATAATTTAACATTATTCCACTAATCCCTGAGTTGCTGAGAGGTTGCACCTTGCACCTCTCAGTAGATATGGATTTTTTGTAAAGTTATTTTCTCTTTTAATTAATTTCCTTTTTAATTATCAAAAAAGAAATCCTTGAGTTGTGCATGCCTTACAAGAGCATTGAACTATCCTGCAAAAAACAAGGTAGGATTCAGGGCACCTTACAACTGTCTTGAACTTTCTGAAATCAATAAAATATAAGGGTGAAAATATCTTCAATCACTTTGTACACCGACATAGGAATAGGCTTGTTTCAATGAATCAATTACTCAAACATCAGTATTTGTTCAGAACCACCAAATATAAAAACTTTAACGCTCTAGAGAACCCCAAAAGCTTTGGAAACACAGAACCTTCATCAATCTCTACATCCAAAAAGAACTTAGCTGGGAACACCTCAGTGATGTATAACTCCGACCCAAAATATAATACAAAGTTCCAAGCAAATCAACCTTTTCTCCTCATGTTATTTTTTTTGATCTTTCAAGATATCCCCCTCTAAGGTATTCTTTTGCCTAGCAATCCTATAAATCATCATAAACGCTTCACAATAGGAGTGTCAACTGGTTTTGCTCCTAACTTTCTTGTGCCATTCAAGAGAACTAGGATGTACTTCTTTGGGAGATGAAAATCCCCTATTGAGAGCAAGCAACTTCAATCCCAAGGAAGTAATATAATGGTCCTAGATCCTTCACCTCAAACTAGGTAGCTAAAAACTCCTTCAACCTCTATATCTTTGAGACCCAATCACTAGTGAAAACTATGTTGTCTATATAGACAATCAATGTAGTCGTTTTTCCCCATTCCAGTGTGTCGTCAATTGGCATCGTTTGAAACCCATCTGCTGCACAACTTGGTGAAATCTACTAAAACAAGCCCTTGGTGACTGTTTTAGGCCATACAAAGACTTCTTCAAATTGCAAACTTTTTGTTCACTGCCCTTAGCACAAAAGTCGAATGATTGGATCATGTACACCTCCTCCTCCAAACCACCATTCAAGAAATCATTTTTGACATCTAATTAATGGAGCTCCCAATCCAGATTTTCTACCAAAGAGAAGAGAACCCTAATGGAGTTCATCTTTGCCACTGGAGCAAAAGTTTCTACATAGTCAATTCCATACACCTGTGTAAAAGCTTTTGCTACCAGACGAGCCTTATATCTCTCTATTGTACCATCTGCCTTGTGCTTCACAGAGAACACCCATTTGCACTCCACAAGTTCCTTTCCTTCAAGAAGATCTACTAACTCCAACGGAACCAAATGCTAAGTTGAGTTTGATGCAGGTGAAGAGTTTGATGATCCTGGAAGGTACAGGAGGTTGGTGGGAAACTTGAACTATCTGACTATCACATGGCCAGATATATCATTTGCTGCAAGTATGGTGAGTCAGTTTATGCAACTTCCTCGGGTTCCACATTGGGAAGCAGTTCTAAGAATAGTCAGGTATCTAAAGGGTGCTCCAGGTCGTGGTCTGTTATACAAAAGTGGAGGAACTCTTGAGATAGAAGGGGATACAGATGCTGATTGGGCCAGATATGTGTTAGACCGAAGGTCAACTATAGTTGTACCTTCCTTGGTGGCAATCTAGTAACTTGGAAGAGCAAGAAACAAACAGTGGTAGCAAGGAGCAGCACAGAAGCTAAGTACAGGGCTATGGCTCATACTACATGTGAACTAGTATGGCTGACAAATCTCTTACAGGAAATGGGGTTCTCAATTGATAGATCCATGAGGTTATAATGTGATAATCAAGTTGTTGTACACATTTCTTCCAATCCAGTCTTCCATGAGAGAACAAAGCATATTGAAGTTGACTGCCACTTTGTAAGAAAAAAAGTGATTGATGGAGTGATAACTATAACTCATGTGAGTTCAGGAAACCAGTAGGCAGATCTGTTTAAAGGGGCTATCTTGGGGCACAGTGGATTACATATGTGACAAGCTGGGACTATATGACATACATTCTCCAGCTTGATGGGGACTCTTAGAGTCGACAATACAAGGGTATTTTGGTCTTTTGTCTATCTAATTGAGATTGCATAGTCTATCTTGTCTGAGTTTAAGTTATGTGTTCCATACTTAATGAGGGACAATACTGATCTTTGTAATTCAGTATATACAATATAAATACAAAGTGGGTCGGTTGGGGGAGATTACTTTTCTCTTCTAGACCGAATCCTTCTCCTCTTTCTCTCTTTCTCCTCCTCCTTCTTCTTCTTCTTCTTCTTCTTCTTCTTCTTACATACTTCGGACCTAGAACTGAACTAGGGTTAATCAACTTGTTCACAATAATGATCTAGCTCTTTCTAGACTAGAGTAAGGGTTGAAAAATAGGAAGACAAACTCCTATCCCCCTGCTTACATGTGGAGGATTCTACTTGCAACTAATAAATCCTAGCATAGTGTCTCTGTTCTAAATATGTTGCCTTTGCGTGCTCCCATATTTCTCTTTCTATCTTTGCCCACATAAAGTTCTACTTAACGAAAGGTAGCACGGATGTTAGAAGTCATGACATGATCATACAATTATCTTGGTCCCACTTATCATATTCAACGGCACCTGACTTGGGTTTCTTTACCTTCCCATTGATATACCTTGCCTTGCCTTTAACAGTAATATACAATCGCATCTCCTTAGACCATGCCAAGTAATTTCAACGATCTAAGGGAGTAATAGTTATGGAAAATTTCAAGGTATCATGACCACTGCTCAGTCCACCCTAATTAGCTGTAGTTCCTGATGTTGCAGAGTCTTTGGAAGCCACAAATAACAACTCCAGAGAGGACAATAATTCGTTTACTTCAGTCCA